GGGACGCATGCATGCTCGGTTGCTCCACCCGAAAATGCAATTACCTTGCCATCAGATGCCTCTATTTGCACTCGTTTGATCACTGAAAATTGTACCAACTCCCAGAATGCCTCTGCTCTAACTCAGGAGCACATTTGTGCAAAAATTTACTGGTGGCCAATCGGTTACACAAAGTGGCTGTTGGCTACTACAACTGGCCGGTCGGCCATCCCTTCCCTAGACTTCTTCTTTTGCTACAACAGAGAGCAAATAGAGGCAAAGCCATGTATTTTCAAGGAATGTATGTATTGCTACCCTCCTTATCATCTCACAAGCTCAAAGGAGTGTAGCTCTTGGCTCTCAAGCCATCAACCAAGGATTTTCAATGCATGATGGCTAGAGAACCAAGGTCGTACAAGGTTAATGAGTGCACAAACAAGACCAAAACAACCACCACCCTATCATGCATGATCAAGGGTGACGGTAACTAAGAAAAGTGGCTCATTTCATAACTTTGAGTATGAAACGTCTCATTTTTCTTGTGTTTGGATTAACGTCCGATCCGAACACATGCAATGCAACACAAAGATGCTTAATCTTGCCTCTTTTACTTTGTTCATTTTGTTTACCAATTTTAGATTACCAATCCATTCTTTAATTGATTAGTCCAAAAGGTGGACGTCCTCTAATTGAAAGTGGGCTTAACCCACAAGTACCTTGAGCATGAAAGAGGCCTCATGCTGTTGGTAATGAACTCCCGAAAGAATTAAACCATTAGGCATGAGGGTCTCAATTCCATACTCAAACCAACAAAGGGTTCAAAGCCACTTTCAAAACAGATGAAAGAGTAAAGAATGGAGGAAGATTGCAGAGATTTAAAGTGCTGAAATTATATGTAAAGCAACACTAAAGCATGCAACCAACACAAGCAAGTGGTATCTAAGACCTTAAAACACCAAACTAGTGAAGCCATTACACTATAGGTATGCAATACAAAGCTCAAAAGGTATAAATACTTCAAAACAGTCCTAAAACAGCCTAAACGGAGTCTTAAAACATGTTTGAAGTAAGCCAAAAATAGCTAGAATAAGAGGCCAAAACATAGCACAAGCTAAACTCTTAAGCACAATTGCACTACAAGCATACAAAGCAAGCCTCAAAGGACCAAACCAGCTCAAAACAGAGCTAAGACCAGTCCAAAAAGAAATGGCAAAAACATGTTGAGATTAAGGTACAAGATGCTAGAAAAACATGCTCACATGTTAGCTTGCAAACAAGACTCAAGAGCAACTCTATAAAGCAATGAATGAGTGAAATAAATGAGCATGTAACAGAGCTATATACATTGAAATTACATGTAAAAAAACACTACAACATGCAACCATCTCAACAAAATCATCTTTAAAGGCCTAGAATGCCAAACTAGTGAAGCCATTTGCAATACAACTATGCAAAACAAGACTCATATGAACAAAGCAGCCCAAAACAGAGCTAAATAATTCTAAATCAGAGGCAAACATGTGCTGGAAATAAGCTAAGTTAGGCTACAAAAACATGCTACCATGTGATGCTAACTAGGCATGAAAGTGAGACACAAGGAGAGGAGACTAACCCCTCCATTTTTGGACTTCAAAACATGCTTTCCACCACTGAAATAACTCTGAATTTCAGTGATTTAAAGGCCCAAAAAATTTGATTTAGATATGCTAAAAGATGGTGCAAAAGCTCACACAAATAAGCAACAAGAAGGGTAGACTACCCCTTAACACAAAATGACCTCAAACCATCATGTTAAGCCTAAAAAATTATAGTTTTTTGTAGTTTAAAACTAGGCCAAAACAGTATAAAAAGATGGCAAAGCAAGTAATTAAAACAAAGCCTACAAGGTAAGTCTTATCCCTCTTGAAGCACAGCACAAAACAGCCATACTTTTAGGCTCAAACCTCCTTCCAAAAGCTCAAATTAGGCTCCAAGGGACCTCAGCTCCAAGGTGGTCCAATTTGATTAAGGGTTAGTGTGCAAAGGTGTAGAGAAAATCAACTATCAAGCACAAAACAAGAAGAGAGAGAGAGAGAAAGAGAGAATTCTAGAGAAAGAGAGAATTCTAGAGAAAGAGAGAAAATTTTGTTCCAAAATGTCTAACCTCTCCAAATGGGGGAGAGCATCCCCCATATATAGAAAATCAAGAGTAAGGCTTGTATTCATCCCTCCATTAACGTGTATAGAGATACACTTCAGTGAACAATAGCTGGCACAGCTGGTAAACAAATATCTAAAAAAGGGGACAAATGGCCGTCGGCCACTCTAACTAACCAACCGGCCACTTCAAGTTTTCGATAATAACAAAAAGTGGCCGACAAGGCCCCTCCCCCTTCCAGGCAAGAGGCACCAAGGTTTGGCCCAAAAATAAGCACAAAACAAAATGGGTTTAGAGGCTCAAAGACAAAGCATTCTGTTGAGAACTTCGGGCGCTCAAAACAAGCACAAACAAGCACATTCATTAAGTGCACAAACAATGACGTCCAAGTCTTAAGGTCGATCAAAAATGGGGTGTCTACACACATCAACTTATATTCTAAATTTAAGAGTAGTTCAAATTGTAACTTATGAGTAGTTTTTTCCCTTGTAATTTGTACATTGTAACTGGGTGAACTTTGCTGATTTCAACCTCAAATCAGCAAAGGTTTATCTTCTCTAATTTGTTACCATCAGCTCATATCAGAAAGTTCAGTTCACGTATTTACTTTGTTACCATCAGTTCATCCAAACAAGTCATCATCATGTTCAGGCATTCGAACTAATACCACAATTGCTTGATTGTTCTTTTTTAAATTGTCAGCTTTGAATTACTGTTTGGTTCCTGTCGATATAGGCCCACCATAATTTTACTAACAATTTCCCCATCACTTTCATAGTTAACATGAAATTATTTCACAACTCCTGTTCATAATTTGTAATTCATATACCAATCGGCTTAGATATAAAGTAAACTAGTTCGTTGGGCTAATTTGTCCAACTAATACCTAAAAATTAACTGGCACTTGGATTATATAGAAAATGCATGTGCTGGGATGTATTTTTGCAAAACCACATGGACAAATTCCATATTTTAATCAAAAGACAAAATATAATACTAATTTACCGAAACAAGTCATAACAAATCAATACGAAGCCAAAATACATCATTAGCTGTCAACCATACCGTAGCAACCCTACAGTTAGATCCAACCAAATTTGGAATAGAAACAAGCAACCCCCAATAGGAATCTTGGAATACAGACATACGCCAATTTCTAACACAAAACAATACACAAACAACAGACACCCATATATATCTCACCTTCATTTAGTTCTGAAAATGACAAGTCATTGCAAACAAAAATGAGAAAATCACTCTAAACAATATGCAAAATAACTGCTCTTGGCCTTGTACATAAGCAACATTGTGCCATTTCATGGCCTTGTACAATAGCAATTATTTACACATTACATACAGCAATGAGTGCAAAATCATAACTACAGACATATCTACCCTGTTCTTGCCAATGATGTGTTTTCAAAAGCTAGTACTATGTACCTAATAAATTAAGGGAATAAGTAAATCATACAATTACCTGATTCACCTCATCAATTGTGGTCGAATAAGTTTTGCACACTTGTTCTTTGACACTACTGTATTGGCCCACAAGCTGTTTTGAATCAAGAGAAACATCAAAAACTAGACGTCGTTGCTTAATATGAAGTGTACTTGGATCCACCAACCTAGTTTTGCAGTGAATGGGTGATGAGTCCGCATTGTACTCACGGTCACTGATGTGGGTTGTATCTGCAGTTGAGTTACAAACCATTGTTCGGCTAAACCGAACCTTAGGACACGTTCGCTTCGTGTGGCCAATGCATTTGCAATTTCCACGTTTTCTTGGTCTTCGACAATTGGACGAGGCCCTTCCCGAGTTCCTTTTTGTCTTCACAAGATCAGGATCTTCTACTCTAAATTGTTGTGGGATTGAATGTTTCCCTTTGTCTCCATCCCCATCGTTGTGATTCCTCTCATATAACTCTTTTCTCCGACTCGTCATCAGAAGACATGCATCCCTAGCCTCTTTGAAACCTTCAGTTAATTGCGAGGCATAGAAACACATTTCATTGTAAGAAGAACTCAATATCCCATAGCGAGTAATCTGTGTTGTAGTGCTATCAATTGAGGGTTGATGCCATAGCTAGCCATCCGTAGCCCTTGTCCATCTATGCAGCACAAAAGTTGGGGAATTTGTGTTAAATTTTCAGCATTCATAACACATATCCTATGACAACAAGGTAGCCCGAACGACTCAAACTTCATGCAAGAACATATCATTGTGGCATCCACTGGATTGGGTGTTACTATCCACAATATATCCTTCACCTTGTACTTATGAATATAGTAGCATTTCTGACCATCCGGCAAAGGGAACACGTCCTTCACATTCAACTTCCCTTCTTCTAAGATTTCATCACGGAACATTTTAAATATATTCCAGGTGGATAGCTCAGCTCCATGTCTCTCTATAGCTCGCAATGGAGTAATCAATACTGGAAAAGTGTTATTTGTTTTGGCATCATCTTCAGCCTCATTATACCTTATCCTTGCAAGAGCTCAATCATAGTGCCTAACAAATTCATATCGCTTCAATTTATGTTGGAAGAAGGGATTGACATAAGCATTCATACTCTTCGAGCACTGAGTGCTCTTCATTCCAGCAAAGAAATAGCCACGCATATATCCCTCAGCACACATATGACGCTTCTCATATGTCCCCAACACCCAGCTATTGTTTTCAAGTCCAAAATTTTCGACCATTCTCGTCTAACCATCCTCAAACTTTGCCTCATCCGTTTTCATCTCCATGCACTGCTTGAAAGCATGTGCAAAGCCACATTTGTGAACATTTGACACTACATTTTTCCCAAGATGCCAATTACATAATCGATGTCTTGCATCTGGAAATTCTCTTTTGATTGCCTCTTGCATCGCTTTATCCTCATCTGTCAATACGAACACAGGTGCTATTGTCCATCGCCTCCATAAATGTTTCCAAAACCAATGTATATACATCAATTGTCCCATTAGCTAGCAAAACACATGCAAATATCGTGGTTATGAAGTGGTTAGGCACACCAGCCAACATGACAAAAGGTTTCTTGTACACATGGGTATGGTAAGTTGAGTCAAATATCAACACATCCCCAAACTTTGCGTAATCTGCCCGCGATTTCGAATCTTCCTAGAACAGATTTTGTAACTTGTTATCCTTACACACATCATACTTGTAAAAAAACGTGGGTCAACATCAAGTTTTTCACATAGGTAAACCAAAGCACCCTGTGCATCACCATCCTCAACTTCTGCTCTACGTTTGGCTTGAATGTGGTTGTGCAGATCCGTACAGATGAAACCAACATTCTCATAACACCCAGATTGATTTACCATATAGTCCATGATTTGGCTAGTCTTCACACCGACGTTGCGCATAGCCATTACTTGAGCTTTATCAACGCTGTTTAAATCCCGATGTGACCTCAGATACATCACACAGTGTTGTTCCGCCAATTCGTTGTTGTGGTCTGCGATGAAGTGAGTCACAACATACTTTCCTCCTTCACCAGCCTCTAGATCGTACCATATGCGAAATTGTGCTTTGCAACCTACTCTTGTTAGTGCCTTGGGAGCTCTTCTCTTCTCTGCAACACGGTCCAAGTATTTTGGTAATCTCTAAGCTTCCCTTGAACACAACCAAAGCCTACTAACAACCTTTCCCTGTTTATTTGTGTTAAATCTGGATTTTTGTATACTAAATCCCTTGGCTTTAGCATACGCATTGTAGAAAGCTTCTCCATCTTCGACCAAATCAAATTTCTAATCCAAAACAGCACGTTCAACCTTACCAACCATGTCATCGCCATGAGCATCATCAACCATTTCTTGTTTCACCTCGATTCGACCATCTTCAACGTTTATGTTGGTTGCTTCTTTATTGCGCGGACCAGCTTCGCAACCATGACAACGTTCCGCCTGACTTTCATTGATCAAATGAATGTCATCTGCTTCATTTGGAATGTCATAATCAACACCTTCACTTTTAACTTTGGCTGGGACCATACTGTACATGACATTAGTACAAACAATTACTTGATAACTAAAAAATGTTAACACAAACACAAACATGACATTTTAACATGGTTGGATTGTTTATGCAAACACAAACCTCAATTGAGAAAGAGAGAGGTTACTTGGCGACGGAGGGGTTTCAGTTTGAGTGAAGCGTAGTGGGGTTGAAGTTAGGATGAGGGTTTAGTTGAGGGAAAATGACTAAAGTGAAGAGGCCAGAGAGAGACAAACAAAAAGAGTAAGAGACAACTCCATACCTGATATCTAGTTGGAGAGAATGCCTTCACTTCAGCAATGGAACCCCATAGAGTCTTGTAGTTCTGTTGTTGCTAGAAATCAAGAGTTATATTGTTCCTTACAGAGCTTTGTCAATGGAACCCAGCAAGGGCTTGTTGCTATTAATGGAAATCAAGAGTTACACTCTCAACCTTACAGAGATGAGGACAATAAGAGAAAGAAAGAGAGAGAGAGAAAGAGAGAGACGAAATAGAGAGAGTGAGGAAAGTGGGATGCAATCATGCAAATAAGAGGATTAACCGATTGCCCCGGTTTTACATTTTTTACGATTAAACAATTCAATGGTCTTGATCAATTATTGTAATCTAACGGCTAAAAATTGGGTTGCATATGGTGTGCAACCTTAAAAGGGTTGCACACTTAAATAGCTCCCAATGAAAAAAGTTTAAACTGTTTTAAATTAGATGTCAAGTTCTTAATAAAAAAAAGAATTATTTGAGTAAATTATTTTAAATTAGATGTGAAGTTGTGTATCACTTGAATGAAAATGAATAAACTATTTTATTTTTTAATTTTAGTATAATTTCTGTTATAGTTAACTTGATACAATTAGAAGAAAATTAGTAATTAAATTGACACACTAGAGAAACTAGGATGAGTAAAATAAATTTCAATAATTCGTGCATCCAAACACAGCCTATGAAGAATAGGAAACATCACCGATTTTAACCATACGAGAAACCCAGAACAAGTAACGACAAAGGGAAGGGAAGGGGAGGAAAGTGAAACCTTCCAATCAAGTTCCACCAAGTCCATATCATTTTCAAAATTACTAATTAAGAAAGTGATATTGGCATCAAATAGGACGGTCCTTATTCTCATTTTTCTTGGAATCATGGACTCCTTATTTGTCACCACTCCATGGTTGTCTTCTGTCCTCAACGAAGCTCCATCGTATCGTGTCGTATCTTCTTTGATCAACCCCACCTCCACACCACCCCAACTATGCTATAATATATATATATATATATATAATACAAACAACTTCACACAACACACACATTCATGCGACGCAACATCAAGGAAGGGAGCTTCCTTCGTCGAGGTTTGAGTATCAATAATGGCAGATAAAGTCCTTTCAGCACTCGACACTGCGAAGACGCAATACTACCACTTCAAAGCCATTATAATCACTATTCTAATTCATGTATGTATGTATATATATATAAATTAAAAATCCTGCACAATGATCCTGAATCAAGTAATCAAAGAATTGTTCAGCAGAAATGGAACTCAAGATCCTGATTCATCATTTTCAGGGAAACAAAAAAAGAAAAGAAAAAAGAAAGAAGACCCAAGTGTAGCTCAACTTTCTTCGCCCCCCCCTCTCGTAGATCTCGAATTGGTCCTACAGTTCGGACTCCTGTCACGGTTCTAAATCTAATCTCACAAAGTGCAATGCGAGACTGATAAACACCAAAGAGTCCAAATCCGACAAATCGTTTTGGAAAATCATATTTTAAATTAAATAATGCCAAAACTGGACTGCTTTGCCAGATTACAGAGTCGCCCCCTAAATATTTTATTTTGGAGAAATTTAGGAAATCCTGACTCGTGCCAAAGGCCACGTGTTCGTCATCACCAAAGTTGCCTTGGCTCGGGAACTTGGGTACGAGAGGGGAAGGTCTTGAAATAAGCACCCCCGCTTGCCCGATCAAAGAATCGGCCTCTACTAACCATGATATGTTATTTTATAAACCTCATGTGTTCTTATTCAGATTATTAGCTAACTTTACTATGTGACGCACACACAAGCAAGTATAGACTAAAATCGCAAGAATTGGAACAAATTCAACTCATGTTTGCTTTCGAAAAATGCTTCAAATTTTCCACCCTCAAGTGGGCTAAAACGCATATTTGCCACCTCAAGTGAGCTTAAAACATGATTTGCCATTTCGCAAAGTGGGCTTAAAACTCACATTTATTGAATTGTTCCAATTCAAGTAATAAAGCCTTCATCCACAGGCATTCATGTAGTTTAGCATTTAAGCATATAGCCTCATGGTAAGCATGAGAAACATGGAAAATATGGAAATCACACTTATGCAAGCATGCCAAAGCGTAAAACTCACCTAGTACTCCGAGCTAGGAAAGAAAACAAAGTTAGAAAAAATGCATGATTCCTAATTATGTTAAATGACTAATGCAACACATGCAATATGCAATTAAATAGGCTCGGCTATCTAATCATGGAATATGATACAATTGGATAACATGCTTTGAAACACGTATTCAAATAAGTATTGAAATATAATGCAGTTTGAATGATGCGTTGAGCCTCAGTGCATGCAAGACAAATGAATGATGCAAACATGCAAGCATAAGGTATGATAATCGAAGTATGTCGTAAACTAACCATCGAAAGCGGTTAAATAAAAGGGAGAAAGACGTGGGGTTGGAAGACATGCACACACGCACGCACACTTATTGCAACATTACGCCCTCTCGGAGGAGGGTCCGAATGAATAAGCTAACTAGCTACGCTAAGCTAATTATTACAGACCAAAACTAACTAACTATTCTAGCTAATTATTACAAACCGAATTGAATAACTAGCTACGCTAAGTTAATTAAGTACAACACTTGAATTGAATAATTAGCTACACTAACTAATTAAAGCAATTAAATGGCCTCAGGGCGAGGGACGCATGCAGGCTCGGTTGTTCCGCCCGAAAATGCCCTTGCCTTGCCATCGGATGCCTCTGTTTGCACTCGTTTGTTTTCTGAAATTCGTACCAACTTCCAGATTGCCTCTGCTCCAACTCAGGAATGCATTTGTGCAAAAATTCACTGGTGGCCGGTCGGCTACAAAAAGTGGCTGTCGGCCACCTCAACTAGCTAGTCGGCTACTTCAAGTGGCCGGTTAACCACCCACTTTTATGGACTTCTGCTTTTGCTGCAACAAAAAGAAAATAGAGGCAAAGCAATGCATTTTCAAGAAATGTATGTACTGCTACCCTCCTTATCATTTCTCAAGCTCAAAGGAGTGTAGTTCTTGGTTCTCAAGCCATCAACCAAACATTTTCAATGCAAGATGGCTAGAAAACCAAGTTTGTACAAGCTTAGTGAATGCACAAAGAAGACTCAAAGGACCACCTCCCTATCATGCATGATCAAGGGTAACGGTGACCAAGAAAAGTGGCACATTTCATCACTTTGAGTATGAAACGTCCCAAATTTCTTGTGTTTGGATTAACATTCGATCCAAACACATGCAATGCAACACAACATGCTTAACTTGCTCAAGTTTTACTTGTCATGTTTTATTTACACATTTTACATTACCGATTAGTACTTTAACCAGTTAAGTCCAAAGTGAATGTCCTCTAATAGAAAGAGGGCTTGGACCACAAGTACCTTGAGCATGAAAGAGGTCTCATGTTGTTGGTTAGTAGAGACCCTCAAGAGAGGATTAAAACCATTAGGCATGAGACCCTCAATTCCAAACTCAAGATAACAAGGGGTTCAAAGCTACTTTCAAAACAAAGCAAAGAGTGAAGAATAGGGGGAGGTTGCAGATATTTCAGTGTTGAAATGGCATGAAAAAGGACACTAAAACATGAAAACAACACATGCAAGTCACGCTAAGAGCCTAAAACATTACGCTAGTAAAGGAGATTGCACCACAACTACACAATACAAGCCTCAAAGGGCCAAACCAACTCAAGACATAGTTAAAACATACCAAAATAGTGGCTAAATCATGCTGAGTTTGAGGCTCAAAAGGCTAGAAAAACATGCTCGCATGTTAGCTTGCAGACAAGACTCAAAACACAACTCTCAAAAGCAATGAAAGAGTGAAATAAATAAGCATGGGACATAGCTATATACACTGAAATTACATGTTAAGAGACACTACAACATGCAAGCCACTCAAACACTTCATGCTTAAAGCCTCAAACAATGAGCTAGTGAAGACCGTTACACTATAGCCATTCAATACAAGCCTCGAAGGACTTAGCCAACCCAAAACAGAGTTAAAGTAGGCAAAAATAGTAGCTAAAACATGCTGAAGTTAAGCTAACATAAGCTAGAATAATAGGCTAAACCATTAGGCATGCTAGACTAGTAAACACAATTGCACTACAAGTACAAAAAACAAGCAACAAGTGCTCCAACCAACCCAAAACAGAATTGAAACATGTAAAAACAGAGCCCAAAACATGCTTGAATTAAGCTAATTTAAGCCACAAAAACATGCTACTATGTAATGCTAACTAGGCATGGAAGTGAGACACAAGGAGGGGAGGCTAACCCCTCCATTTTTGGATTTCAAAACATACTTTTTACCACTGAAATAACTCTGAATTTCAGTGGTTTAAAGGCCCAAAAAGTTTGACTTTAACATGCCAAAAGATGGTGCAAAGGCTCACACAAATAAGCAACAAGAAGGGTAGACAACCCCCTAGCACAAAATGGCTTCAAACCAACATGTTAAGGCTCAAAAATCAAAACTTTTTGTAGTTGAAAACTAGGCTCAAAATAGCATAGAAAGATGGCAAAGTAAGTATGTACAAAGAGCTTAAATGAGGTAAGTCTTATACCTTTGAAGCACAGGACTAAATAGCCACTCTCTTAGGCTCAAATAACCTTCCAACAACCCAAAATAGGTCCCAAGAGGCCTCAGCTCCAAGGTGGTCCAATTTGGTTAAGGGCTAGTGTGCAAAAATGTAGAGGATTCTAACTATCAACCA